GGGGGGGGGGGGGGGGGGCTGCTGCGGGCGCGGAGCGGGCGCGGCCGCCGGCCGCGGGGAAGCGTTCTGCTGCCGGGACCCGGAGCGGCGCCGGTGCGCTGTTTGCTGCTGCTGCTGCTGCTGCTGCTGCTGCTGCTGCCGCTGCTGCCTGTGGGGCTGCCGCTGCTGCTGCCGCTGCTGCTGCCGCTGCTGCCGCTGCTGCTGCAGGTACTGCCGCTGCTTCTGCTCCCACATCTCCTCCCGGTAAGACAGCCGCGCCAACTCGTTAATGGAGTCCCTCGCAATCTCCCAAGAAGCTGTGCCTGGCTGCGGCCACTGCGGCTGCTGCTGCTGCTGCTGCTGCTGCTGCTGCTGCGAGTCTCCCTGCTGCTCTTCAAGCTGCTGCCGCTGCTGGTGCTGCCGCTGCTGCTCATCCAGCTGCTGCCGAAACAGCTGCTGCCACACAGACGGCTGCTGCTCGGCCGGCTCTTCCTCGTCTTCCGCGTCGTCCGCCTGCAGCTGCCGCTGCTGCTGCTGCTGCTGCAGCAGCAGCTGCTGCTGCTGCTCCCACCTCTCTGTTGGAGAAGGAAGATTCTCCAAAGGCCTCCGCCACACTCTCTGCAGCTCCCTCAAAGTGGCGTCGCGCTCCTCTTGGCGCCTCCTCTCTTCCTCCTGCTGCTGCTGCAGCAGCAGCAGCTGCTGCTGCTGCAGGGTGGCGTGCTGCTGCTCCTGCAGCATGCTCTGCTGCTGAGGGGGCAGTAGCTGCTGCTGCTGCGCACCCTGCTGCTGAACATGCAGCAGCTGCGTGTGCTGCGTCTGCCAGTTCGAGTGCTGCAGCCAGGCATGATGGCCGTGCTGCAGCTGCTGCTGCCAGACTTGCTGCTGCTGCTGCATCAGCAGGATCTGCTGCGCGTGCAGCACCTCCTGCTGCTGCCGGAGCAACGCATGGTGCTCGCTTTCTTGCCGCTGCTGCTGCTGCTGCTGCTGCAGCTGCCAGTCAACCTGCTGCTCAAACTGGTGGCCTTGCAGCTCTGCTGCATTTAGAAGTGAAGGCTGCGTCTGGGGGAGGCCTGCAGCAGCAAAGACAGCAGCAGCAGCAGCAGCAACAGCAGGCCCTTTAGCAGTGGCCAGACATAGAAGAGCAACCACGAGCGACGTGAGCAGCAGCAGCAGCTTCTGCTGCAGTGATTGCAGCAGCTGCTGCTACTGCTGCTGCTGCTGCTTGTGCTGCCTGCGCGAGTGCTTTTGTCGTTGCTGCCCTCGCTGCATCTCTCGTCGCTGCAGCCACGTTTAACGACGCCCCTGGAGCGCTTGCTGCTGCTGCTGCTGCTGTCGCTGCTGCTGCTGCTGCTGCTGCTGCTGCTGCTCCAGACTCACCGTTGGCCGCGGTTTGCTGCACCGTGACAGACAATGTCTGCACTGTGTGCGGCTGAAAGACAGGCAGCCCCGGGGGCAGCAGCCCGGGGCCCCTCTGGCTGTGGTTGTTGGGGTTGGGTCTCATTTTGGGGTGTACGTACACCTGGTTGCTGCGTGTGGGGTGCAGCAGCGCGTCGGCAGCGGCGCTGCAGCGCAGCAACAGGCCTCACAGCGCTCCGGGCTGACTGGCAGCAGCAGCCGCAGCAGCAGCAGCCGCGAAAACAACAGCTGCAGCAGCTGCAGCAACAGCAGCAGCAGCAACAGCAGCAGCAGCAACAGCAGCAGCGCCGTACCTGAGGACAGTGGTCGCTTGCTACTGGTCGACAAGGCGGTCAAGCTGGCAGTGACAAGAAGGGTCGGTATTCTACAGATTGAATTTGAAATAAAATTAAATTAAATTAAATTAAATTAAATTAAATTAATAGAAGAAAGAAGAAACAAACAATGGAGGCTGGTCTATTTCAGCCCGCCGGCGCGGGTGACCTCCTCGCCGCCGTGGCAGTTAATAGTTTAGGTGAGTGGCTGGGTCTGCTGCGGCAGCTTAGGGCTTCTTTTTGTTCTCTTTTGTTTCTATTTGTCTTTTTTATTATACATTAATTAATTTAAACTGAAAAAGCCTTTTAAATGGCCCCCGATGGTCAATTTCAACTGAAGAACAGCACCGGCGCCGCACCCCCAGGGTCACTTGCTGCTTCTGCTGCTGCTGCTCTTCCTCAATCTTTCACCTTTATCCCTTCAACTTGAGCCACTTTTGAAGCTTCTACAAAAATATAAATATATAAATATATATTAAATTCATCTTTGAGGTGAAAGGAGCCCGCAAAGTTGGCCTGCCGCGCCCTCCGTGACCAGTGGTCTGTCCACCTTTGTAGCTGCAGCAAAAGCGCCACAAAGGGCCCCAGGGGCCCCTCAGAGGCACATCTTGTGACGTTCTGGGGGCCCCCGGGGGCCCCTAAGGCCCGCAGTGGACTGAATGGGCAAATTGCTGAGCGGGGAGTTCTGCGGTGGGCAGCAGCAGCTGCTGCTGCTGCTTAGGCGCCTCCACGTGCATGCCTGCTGCAGCAGCAGAAGCAGCAGCAGCAGCAGCAGCAGCAGCTGCTGCTGCTGCTGCTTCACGGCGGCGTGGCCTTGCAAGCCACCACCCCGCAGTCAGGGCTGCCAAAGTGCTCCCTGGAGCTGCAAAGGCACCCAAGGGCAACAGAGGTCACGGAGGCACTCTTAGGGTTTAGGGTTTAGGGTTTAGGGTTTAGGGTTTGGCCCCAACACTGCTGATCAACAAGCAAGGGCATAATAGTCCTCCTTGCAGAAACACCCACGGGGTTACCCCAGAGGGCCCACAGAGGGGCCCCCAGGGGCCCCCCCGGGGCTCCGGGGCCCCCTCTGGGGCCCCAAGGGGCCCCTTGGGGCCCCAAGGGGCCCCAAGGGGCCCCAGAGGGGGCCCCTACGGGGTCTTTGCCCCTTAGGTTTCAGGGAAGCAAATAAAAGATAAGACAAATCACAGGGGCCCCATGCCTCCTTGGGGGCCCCAAGGACCCTTTGGGGGGCCCCAGGTCTCCTTGGGGGCCCCCAGGACTCTGTGGGGGGCCCCAGGTCTCCTTGGGGGCCCCCAGGTCTCCTTGGGGGCCCCTATGCCCCCTTGGGGGCCCTACGGTTCCTTAAGGAGGCCCAGGAGGGCCTCTCTGAGGGTCCTGGGGGGCCCCTTTGAAGGCCACGGGGGCCCCCCTAGAGGCCTCGGGGGCCCCCACGAGGACCAGGAGGGGCCCCTGGGGCATCTGGGGGGCCCTAAAAAGGTCAAAAGTGGCAGCAAGGGGCCCCCCAGGGGCCCCCTGGGGGGCCCCCTGTTGGTTTGTTCGCTGAAACCCTCTTTGGGTCTCTTGGGGGCAACAAGAGCTGTACCCTTTGCATGGGGGGCCCTGGGGGCCTCTGGTGGACCCTGGGGGCCCCTTAGGAGCCCCTTTGGGTCCCCATAGGGGCCCCCGGGGGCCCCCGGGGGCCCCCCGGGGCCCCCGGGGGCCCCGCGGGGCCCCTAAGGGGCCTCGGAGGGGCCCCTAGGGGGCCCCTAGGGGGCCCCTCAGGGGCCCCTAGGCGCAGCAGCGGCTGCAGTTGGAGGCCCGCTGCTGCTGCAGCCCAGCTAGTGCCTCGCCTGCGCACGGTGGAGGGTCTTGTGTTCCAGCTAGCCAGCTAGCTGGCTAGTTAGCTAGCTAGCTAGCTCTCCAGCTAGCTGGCAAGTTAGTTAGCTAGCTAGCTGGCTATGTTAGTTAGTTGGCTGGCTAGCAGGCTATCCGAGGAGCTAACTGGCTAGTAAGCTAGCTAGCGAGCTTGCTACCTCCCCAGCTAGCTGGCTTAGCTAGCTAGCTAGCTAGCTAGCTAGCTAGGTAGCTAGCTAGCTAGCTAGCTGCCTAGCCAGCTAGCTGGCCGTCATGCCAGCTTGCTCGCTATAGCTAGATAGCTACAGTCCCAGAGATGGCTAGCCAGGCAGAGCGAGCAAAACGGCATGCTAGCAAGCTGCTGCTGCTGCTGCTGCTGCTGCTGCTGCTGCTGTGAACAGTGCTGCCTTAGGGCCGCAGCAGCAGCCGTATTTGAGTTTGCTGCTGCTGCAGCAACAGCGCTGCCGTTGCAGCAAAATCTACATCAGCGGTTGCTGCAGCAACGCCACCCGAGCAGCAAACGTACAAAAGCTCAGTAGAAAGAAGGCCCAGCAGCAGTTGCTGCAGCAGCAGCTGCAGCAGCTGCTGCTTCTGCTGAGCAGCTGCAGCAGCAGCTGCAGCAGCGCAGCAGCTGCGCCCACGGGCCTTCAATGGGGCGCCATCTTACATAATCAGAAGCTCTCGCTGCTGCTGCTGCTGCTGCTGCTACTTGTCTTGCTGCTGCTGCAGCAGCTGCAGCAGCAGCTGCTGCAGCTGTCTATTTGAATTCCTGAAAAACCGCAAAAATAAGGCGGAAATTCGCCGTCCACCAAGAAGCTGCGTCTAGCACCGCTGCTGCTGCTGCTGCTGCAGCAGCAGCAGCAGCAATTCACTGGGCCGCCTGCTGCTGCTGCAGCAGCTCCTTCGCGAGCTGCACCGCCCGTGTTGCTGCTGCTTCGAAGTCGTTAATTGCTTCGATGTGCAGCGAAGCACCTTCGGGGCCTTCCATGGCTTCTTTAAGAATTGCTTCTGCCTTCTCCTTGTTTGTGCCTTGTAGCCGCACCTAAGCAGCAGCAGCAGCAGCAGCAGCAGCAGCAGCAGCAGCAATATTAGCGTCAGCAGCACCAAAAGCAGCAGCACAGCCATTACCAATGCAAGAGCCCCGCAGCAGCAGTCGCAGCTCCCCGCCCGCTGCCCGCACCTCCCCTCCCCAGAATCAGCAGCAGCAGCAGCAGCAGCAGCAGCAGCAGCAGCAGCAGCAGCAGCAGCAGCAGCAGCAGCAGCAGCGGACCACGATGGGCTTGTGGATCTTGTGCTGCCGGGCAGCCTGCACGAGCCCCTTGGCAATCTCGTCGCACTTGAGAATGCCCGCGAAGATGTTGAGGAAGAGAACTGGTGCTGCAGCATCTGAGCGCAGCAGCTGCAGCGCGAGAGCTATCTGAGGAGCAGCAGCAGCACCTCCCAAGTCCAGGAAGTTTGCTGCTGCACCTCCCTGCAGCTGCAGCAAGTCCATGGTGGCCATGGCGAGGCCTGCCCCGTTGACTAGGCAGCCCACGCCTGCGCCGAGCTTGACGTACTGCAGCTGCTGCTGCTCTGCTGCTGCTTCCAGCGCTGCTGCTGCTGCTGCTGCGCCTCCCGCTGCTGCTGCTGCGCACTGCTGCTGCGCCGCCTTCTCCTCAGCAGCAACAGACTCAAACAAGTCCAGCTGGCGGTACTTGGCGTTGTCGTCAACGCTCAGCTTCGCGTCTGCAGCCCACAGCTCCTGCTGCGGCTCCTGCTGCTGCTGCTGCTGCTGCTGCTGCTGCTGCTGCTGCTGCTGCGGGGGCTTGTCAGTGAGGATTAAAGGGTTTATTTCCACCAATAAACAGTCTCGGGATATAAATAATTTGTGCAAAGAAGAAATTAAAGAGTCGAGTTGGCGGCCCATGGCCGGGCTGAGGTTCAGGTGTATGCGCAGCTCCTCCAGCGCGTCCGCGCCGAGCGCTGCAGCAGAAAGCAGCGGAAAGCTGCCATTAAAACCATTTAATGGATTTAAATAATTATTTATTTTATTTATTTATTATTTTTATTTGTTTTTATTCCTTTTTTAACGCTTTTCCACTCAAAATGACCCACCCTCGTCAAACCCCATGCGGATCTTCTTTATCGCCTCCGGGTTCGAGTGCGCGATGTCTTCAATGCTGGTGCCCCCTTGAGAGCTGCCCACAAACCCTAAACCCTAAACCCTAAACCCTAAACCCTAAACCCTAAACCCTAGCAGCGCAGGCGCAGGCGCAGCAGCGGCGTCCTTCGCTGCTGCAGCAGCGCCCCGCAGGAAACGCTAAACCCTAGAGTGGGCGCGCCGCCGCGCAAACCCCAAACCCCAAACCCTAAACCCTAAACCCCAAACCCTAAACCCTAAACCCTAAACCCTCGAGATACCTGGCAATGAGCATCGGAACCCCCGTGTTTCTGTCGAGGATAATGGCCAAGTAGAGCTCCCTCTTGGCCTTGAACTCCTCGCAAATAAGAATTGTGCTGCAGACTTTTCCTGCTGCTCCTGTTTGCTTCGTAATTAGGGTTTGCTGCAGCATATTTGCTGCTGCAGCAAACACTTGCTGCGGGCTGCTGCAGCGCTGCACCCCCCCCTTGTAGCCGTTTTCCTTGAAGTAGCCGAGGCCGCGGCCGCCGGCCAGGACCTGGGCCTTGACGACAAGTCCGGGCTGCTGCTGCTGCTGCTGCTGCTGCTGCTGCTGCTGCTGCTGCTGCAGCTCCTGCTGCAGCGCAGCAGCAGCAGCCTGCGCCTCCTCCGGAGTCCTAGCAATCCGGAAGCGCGGCACGGCCACGTTGTGCTGCTGCAGCAGCTGCATCGACTGGTACTCGTAGAGGTTGAGGTGGCGGCGCTGCTGCAGCTGCTGCAGCTGCTGCTGCTGCTGCTGCAGCGGCTGCTGCAGCAGCTGCTGCTGCCCCAGAATGCCAGCAGCAGGGGCCCCCCAACGCTGCAGGGGCCCCCCCCTCCCCACAGCCAGCCGCGCCAGCAGCTGCATTTTGCAAAATGAAAAATTAAAAATAAATTGCTGGAGCAACTGCGCAACTCGAGTCAGAGTGTGTGCAGCTGCAGCAGCAGCAGCAGCAGCAGCAGCAGCAGCAGCAGCAGCAGCAGCGGCAGCAGCGAGGGAAGTGAGGCCGGCTCGCTTTTTTGCGCTTATTAATCGAAATTTATGAAAACAAAATAAAGAAATTTGCTGCTCCAGCTTCCTTGCTGCAGCAGCAAGAAACAAGCAAGCGAATGCAGCAGCAAAGCCCCAGAGCAGCAGCAGCAGCTGCTGCTGCTGCTGCTGCTGCTGCTCCTGCCACAGCAGCTGCAGCAGCAGCAGCAGCAAGGCGCCTCACACTTTGTTTTGCTCAGTCTGCTGTGGTATAAGCTCTCTTTCCACGCTCAAAGCTAAACCCTAAACCCTAAACCCTAAACCCTAGACGCTCAAATCTAAACCCTAGACCCTAAACCCTAAACCCTCGGGAACCTGAGGCCTATACCGCCCGCGCTGCTGTCTTCAGGGTTTAGGGTTTGCTGCGCTGAGCTAGTGGCTAAGATTTAGGGTTTAGGGTTTAGGGTTTAGGGCCTAACCCCTCGGCTCTGGGCTCTAGAACATACGCCCTAAACCCTAAACCCTAAACCCTAAACCCTAAACCCTGATCACAGTACTGCGCTTCTTTCCTTTCCCCTACAATCGCCTTACCACCAATATAAAATTTATTTATTTATTTATTTATTTATTTATTTATTTATTTATTTATTTATTTATTTATTTATTTATTTATTTATTTACTTTGACCCAAACAAAACTTGTATTTCCTTCTGTCTTCCTTATTTCTGCCTACTGTTTCCTTTGTCAAGTACCCAAACCTCCCGGGGGCCCCCTTGGGGCCCCCCTGGGGCCCCCGGGAGGGTTTAGGGCCCCTGGGGGCCCCCCGGGGCCCCCGGGAGCCCCCGGGGGGGCCCCCTGAAGGTCCCTGGGGCCCTCGGGGGCCCCCTGGGGCCCCCGAGGGGCCCGTGGGGCCCCCTGGGGAGCCTTGAGGGGCCTTTAGGGGGCCCCTGAGACCCTTTTGGAGGACCTATGGGGCCCGCAGACCCTTTTGGGGGCCCCTAGGGGGCCCCTGGAGCGCCCGAGTGCCCCTTAGGGGCCCCTGGGGCCTCTTGGGGGCCCCAGGGGCCCCCAAGAGGCCCCAGGGGCCCCCAAGGCCTAAGGAGGGGCCCCGGGGCCTCTCCTCCTCAAGGTACTTGAGGGTCTGGGGGCCCCCAAAGGGGCCCCTACTGTACCCTCTGGGGGCCCCTAGGGTCTAGGGGGGCCCCCAGGGCCTCTTTCTCTCTTTTAGGGGCCCCTTTTTCTCTTGGGGGCCCCTCGGCCTTTAAGGCCTTGGGGCCCCCAAATGCTCCACAACAACTTGGCTGGCTTTCTCGTAGTGCCCGCTGCAGCTAGCCCTAAACCCTAAACCCTAAACCCTAAACCCTAAACCCTAAGCCTAAAGCCGGAGAAGAGAGGCTCCTGAGGGGCCCCAAAGCCGGGCTTATAGTGACTGCATGCAGGGCTTGCATGCGGCCCATTTGTTTAAAGGCCCCTTGTCAAAGTATTGCTGTAAGGGGCCCCCAGAGGGGCCCCTGTGCCCCTGGGGGCCCCCTTCCCAGTCCCTGGGGGGCCCCTCGGTACCCTTTGGCGCCAGGGGGCCCCCCTGGGGGCCCCCCCAAGGGGCCCCAGCTGCCCTTTGGGGGGCCCCCCTGGGGAGAGAGCGCTGGGGTGTCTGGGGTCTTGCGCTGTGTGTCTTTTGGGGTGTATGGTGAGCTCTGGGAAAGGCGCGGGGGCTGCGGGTCTTTCTCGGGATGTTTAAAGAGGGAAAAGAAGCGAAAAATGGTTTTTATTTTTAAATAAAATAAAATAAAAACAAATAAAATGGAAAAGACCGAGGAATCGAGAACGCCCGAGAGTGGCCAGCAGCGGAGGCGCCCGCGGTCAACGGGCGGGACAAGGAGAAAACCCCGAAAAAGGGTTTTGGCGGCACTTATAAACCCTAAACCCTAAACCCTAAACCCTAAATATATTTATTTCAATATCGGGGAAGAAAATAGAGGAGAGGCGCTGCTGCGCTGCTGCTGCCGATACACCCGAGCTGTCTGTACACCGCGCCAGACCACTGGCGCGCCGCCGCAAACCCGCCGCTGCCTCTCTTCACTTTTAGTTTTTTATTTTTTTTGTTTTTCATTAAAACAAATATGAAAAGAAGTTCTAAGAAGTTCTTTAGTGAGCGCCAGCAGCGCCTAGGGGCCCCAGGAGCCGCCCGAGTCCCTCCCGTCCTTCGGCTCCAACCCTAAACCCTAAACCCTAAACCCTAAACCCTGATCCCCGCGCCCCCGCAGCAGCCGCACACAGGGTTTCCATGCGAGGGTTTAGGTTTGAGGGTTTAGGGTTTAGGGTTTAGCGGCGGTTTGAGGCTGTAGAGAAGCTGAAGAACCCCTGGGATCGCCTTAGGTCCCCGTGCAGCTCTTTTTGTCTTTTTTTTCTCTTTTTTGTTTCTTTTTGTCTCTTTTTGTTTCTTAATTTGTTTCATTTTGAATTTCAGTTTCATTTTGAGTTTCTTTTTTCCATTTTTGATCCTTTTTTGCCTTTTTTGTCTTCTCTTGTCCCGGATCGTTGCTGCTGCTGCTTCCCCCAGCGCTGCAGCGCCGCCTGACCCCCTTGGCAGCAGCAGCAGCAGCAGCAGCAGCAGCCCAAAATGAGGTGTACGTACACCCCGTGGGCCCTCGCAGCAGCAGCAGCAGCCCTAATCCTCAGCAGCACATCTCCTTTTCTTGCTGCAGGTCTTCGCCTGTCTTCTCTTCTTTCCTCAAGTGACCTGGGGGCCCCCCCAGGGGCCCCGGGGGCCCCCGGGGGCCCCGAGGGGCCCCCGGGGGCCCCCGAAGGGCCCCAGGGGGGCCCCCCACAGGGCCGCAGGGGACTGTTTGCCCTGAAGCGCAAGCTCTCGCCCAGCAGCAACAGCAGCAGCAGCAGCAGCAGCAGCAGCAGCAGCAGCAGCACAAGCGCCGGGGGGAAGATCGCGAAGCGGCTTCGGACGGCCGTTGAGGGCATGAAAAAGCGCAGGAGGAGGAACAGCAGCAGCAGCAGCAGCAGCAGCAGCAGCAGCAGCAGCAGGATGAAGAAGAAGAGCAGGCAGCTGCAGCAGCGGCTGAAAAAGATGGCTGAAAAAGTAAAATCAAAAGCAAAAGATATTGTTGAAAAAGTTAAGAAGAAAGCAGGAGGAATAAATCCAAATGATGAAAGTCCAGAAGCTCTTAAAGAAGAACTTACCTTGGCTCAGTATTACCTGCCTTCAAAGGGCCCACAAGGCAGCCAGGGGGCCCCCAGCAGCAGCAGCAGCAGCAGCAGCAGCAGCAGCAGCAGCAGCAGCGGGGTAGAAGGCGGCACGCAGGGGCCGCAGGCCGCTGTGCTGCCGCAGGCTCCTCCTGCAGCAGCAGCAGCAGCAGCAGCAGCAGCAGCAGAAGGGGAGGACTCTTCAGGCGAGGAGACTGATGAGGAGCAGCAGGGGCCTGCTGCAGCAGCAGCAGCAAAAACCCCACATATGACCAATGGTCAAGACCAGTGGACCACTCCCCCCGAGCCGCCCTACAGGCCACGCCCAAGGCCCAGAAGTCCCCCGCAGCAGCCCAGAGGCTCAAGTACAACAACCCCACCTGCTGCTGCTGCCCCGGCCTTGCCCCCGAAGCCAGCAGCAGCAGCAGCAGCAGCAGCAGCGCCCGCACAGCCGGCAGCAGCAGCAGCAGCAGCAGCAGCGCCGCAGCCGCCACCGCCCCCGCCGCTGCAGCCAGCAGCAGCAGCAACGCCGCATCCGCCGCCGCCGCCGCCGCCGCCACCGCCGCCGCCGTCGCCGCCACCGCCAGCGCCAGCAGCAGCAGCAGCAGCAGCAGCAGCAGCGCCAGCAGCAGCAGCAGCGCCAGCAGCAGCAGCAGCAGCGCCGCCGCCGGCACCTCCACTGCCTGCCCCAAGCGAGGCCCCTTCCTCTGGCGGGAGCGGCAGCGCGGCGCAGCAACAAGCGAGCCAGGAGCAGCAGCAGCAGCAGCAGCAGCAGCAGCAGCAGCAGCAGCAGCAGCAAGGGGGCGCAGCACTTAGTGCTGATGCCCTCAAAGACGCCAGAGAGAGGCTAAAATCAAACGAAGAGAACCACAAGGAGAATCCAAGTAATTATTTCTTGTTTTTGTTTTCTTTTTAATTTAATTATTTGCTGCTGCTGCTGCTTTGCTGCTGCTCTGCTGCTGCTGCTCCCTTGCGCCTTTGCTGCTGCTCGCTCGTCTCGCTGCTGCAGCAGCTGCTCTCTCGTCTCTTTGCTGCTGATGCTGCTCTCTTTTCTCTTTGCTGCTGCTGCTGCTCTCTCTTCTCTCCGCTGCTGCTGCTGCTCTTTGCCCTTTGCTGCTGCTGCTGTTTCTATATAAAGAAATAACAAATAATAAACAACGAATAGACATTAGAGAAATAATAAGCTCAGCAGAGGCAAAAGAGAGAAGCAAAACTAATGCTGCTGCTGCTGCTGCTGCTGCTGCTGCTGCTTCTGCTGCTGCTGCTGCTGCTGCTGCTCTTCAGCTGCAGCACCAGGGTCTCTCATGGACGCACTAGGCCAACAAGTTGCTGCTCGAAGAGGAGCCATTAGAGGCGGCAACAAATCTGAGTCCGAGTCTGGCTCAGGCTCCTCCAGCGAGTGGGAGTAAGGCCAACAGCAGCAGCAGCAGCAGCAGCAGCAGCAGCAGCAGCAGCAGCAGCAGCAGCAGCAGCAGCAGCAGCAGAAGCAGCAGCAGCAGCAGCAGCAGCAGCAGCAGCAGCAGCAGCAGCAGCAGCAGCAGCAGCAGCAGCAGCGCGTGGAGCCAGCGGCATGTGGAGCCAGCGGGGAGAGAGACCCGGCATCCTTGTTTTAGGCCAGTATCGGCAGCGTCGGCAGCAGCAGCAGCTGCTGCTGCAGTAGCAGCAGCAGCAGCAACTGCAGTAGCAGCAGCAGCAACTGCAGCAGCTGCCTCTTTTTGATTTTGTTTAGTCCAGGCATCTGTCTGTGGAAGGCCTTTTCGGCTATTTGCGTCTTTGCTGCTGCAGCTCTCCTTGCTGCTGCTGCTGCTGCTGCTTTCTTTTTGTTTGCTGCTGTCTGCCTCAGGGGCCCCACAGCCCCCAGGGGGCCCCTGGCCCTCAGCCTTGGGCCCCCAGGGGCCCCTAGGGGGGCCCCCAGCCCCAATTGGGGGCCCCCCGCAGCAATAGGGGCCCCCACAGGGGCCCCCCAAACGTCAGTAGGGGCCCCTGGAGCTCCCAGGGGCCCCCAGGTCCGCGTGGTGTCCCACAGCGCCTAGCAGGGGCCCCAAACAGCAGCAGCAGGGGCCCCAAACAGCAGCAGCAGGGGCCCCAAGCAGCAGCAGCAGGGGCCCCAAACAGCAGCAACAGGGGCCCCAAACAGCAGCAGCAGGGGCCCCAAACAGCAGCAGCAGGGGCCCCAAACAGCAGCAGCAGGGGCCCATAAGCAGCAGCAGGGGTATCCACGCTGCTGCAGGGGCCCATAAGTAGCTGCAGGGGCCCCAAAGCAGCAGCAGGGGCCCCTCAAGCAGCAGCAGGGGCCCCTCAAGCAGCAGCAGGGGCCCCCAAGCAGCAGCAGGGGCCCCCAAGCAGCAGCAGGGGCCCCCTTTTGCTGCGCCACTTTTGCTGCATCTGTTTTTACTCTTTGTCTCTGAGGCAGATGGCGGCGAACAAAAGTAAAAAGAAAAGAAAAGAAAACTTTTATTTGTTGTTTAAATTAATTTGATTGGTTTAGGAGGCTTTTGCTGAGGTGTACAGACACCCCAGCACTGTGCTGGGGTGTACAGACACCGCGCTTCTAAGGGCATTTTCTTCGGCTAGAGTAATACTTAAAATAAAAAGCATTATTTTTATATTTATTATATTTTTATTATTTAAAATAAAAATATTATTTTTATATTTATTATATATTTAAAATATATAGCTTTTCCATTCTTAGGATACGTTTTTATGAACACGACCTGAACCAGAAGGTGAAGTTCTTTACTTTTTGAAGCTATTTACGTCCAATTATTTTATTTATTTTATTTATTTTATTTATTTTATTTTATTTATTTTATTTAATTGATGTATTTTATTTATTTTATTTGTTGTTGCTCTCATAGGCCTTTGGAGTGTACGCATGCACTTAAAGAAATGCAGTTGAAGATAAACTGCTGCAAACAAATCAAAAAAGAAACTTTTTGACTTTATATATTTATTTATAAAATTATAAATTAAATTTAAAAAAGTTTTTAATCTAAAAAATGCAAAGTTGCACAACTTCAGCATGCAAAGTCTTTGGCTTAAAGTCTGCATGCACTTGGGGCTTTTGCATGCAAATTGTTTTTTCTTTTGCAAAAAAATAAATTCACTTCAAATATAAATAAATCATTAAATTGAACTTTACAACAAACACATTCTCAGGCTCTGCATGCAGTTTTGTTTTTCTTTTTTCTTTATTTCTTTTGAACCCACTTTTGCATTTATCGTTTTACAGTTTTGCTTTTATCTTTTTATACTTTATATTTCTCCTTTTATATTTTATATTTCTCTTTTTATATTTTTATTTTTTTTTAATTTTTAATTTTCTTTAATTAAAATAAATTGCGGGGCTTCGGATTTCTCCATTTTTTGCACTTTCGGCGGCCTGTCGCCTAAAAATGAAATTTAAAAAGCAGAAAGAGATAAAATGGATTTTAATTTTTGTTCCAAAAGTATTTGTTTGTAAATGAGTTGCTTTTCTCCAACTTTTAAAGGACAAAGCTCAAAGAAATGCCATCTTTTGAATTCTTTTTCGAGAAAATTTGCAAAAAAATAATTAAAAAGAGTCATTAAAAGCCCCAAATGAAGACAAATGAACGCATGCATTTTAATGGAACATTTTAATTCTTTTTTGTTTTTTTCTTTTTCAAAAATGAAAAAATATGTTCCATGAATTCAAAATGCATGCAGCCTCCTTTTGCCATCTTAATTTTAATTCAATGAATAAATAAATACATTTCTCTTCTTCTAGTTTGTAATTCACAACAAATCAACAGAAAAATAATAATACAAATAACAAATTAATAAATAAGTACATTTCTCTTTTTCTACAAAATTCAAACCAAATAAATAAATAAATAAATGTTTTTCTTTTGGGTTTCAAAATTCAAATCCAAAAAATTAATAAATTCCCCGCAGAGTCCCGAAGATGCCGAAGGAGCAGCAAAGAAAGGAATGCAGCAAAAATCAGAAAAAGTGAAAAGTCCGAACAAAAAATAAATTAAAATAAATAAAAAATTAAAACAAATAAATAACAAAATAAATTAAAAAAAATAAATAAAAAATTAGTTCAAATGAATAAATAAAAAGTAAATTAGAATAGATAAAAAATAAATTAAAATACAAAAAAAGTAAATTAAAATAAATAAATAAAAAACTTAAGTAACTAAGTAAAAAGTAAATTAAAATAAATAAACAAGAATAACATCAAATTAAATAAATAAAGATAAAAACAAATTAAATAAATAAATAAAAATAAAATAAAATTAAAATAAAATTAAACAAAATAAAACTAAATAAAAATGATTAATAAAGGAATGGGAGTTGGAGTTAAAAAGACAAACAACAGAAGCCCAGGGCCAAGAGCAGCAAAAGCCGCAGCTAACAGACTGCAGCAGCGCAACGGCAAAACGGGCCAAAAACGACATGAAAATGGAGGAAAAAAGAAAAAAAGAAAAGACAAATTGAAATGAAATAATAAAAAGAGAAAAAATAAAGAAAAAAGTTGCAAAATAGAGGACAAAAAAGACACTTGGAGGAAGAAACGGGCAGCGAGGAAAGGCAAAGAAAAGCGCCAAGGCCGCGCTGATGCGCCGAAAACGCAGAACTTTGGAAGTAAAAATGAAATAAAATGAAATAAATTAATTTATTTGATTTTAACAATTCAATTTAATTCAAAAACAATTCAATTTAATTCGATTTCTCGAAGAATGCGAGGCACTTTCTTCTGCGGGCGCTGCAAGCTCCAGAATGCACGGCGAAGACTTGGCAAGGCCCGCTGCAGCGCGCAACTCCGCAACTCCGCCGCGAAAACGCAGAAATTAAATAAATTGAAATAAAAATAAATAAATAAAAACTGAAAAGCGAAGAAGAAGAAGTTCCTGCACATGCGAGCTGTAGATACACCGGAAGACGTGCACAGAGAGCGCCGCGCCCGAGTGTCTGTCCACTGGGCCGGTCGGGCGAAGCCAAGCCCGCGTTTCTCCGTGAAAACTGAGCAAATTGAGTTAAATATTCTCCAAAATGTTATTTAAATACTCCAAAATGTTGAAATATTTCAAAAAAAGAAAAGTTGAACGGCCGCGAGCGACACACTCGGCGTGCCGGCCCGTCGCTCAGCGGCCCGACCGGCCGCCGCCCAAGACCACCCGAAGCTTCGCTGCTGCTGCTGCTGCTGCTGCTGCTGCTGCTGCTGCTGCTGCACTTTCTTCTATTGTTCATTTTTGCTTTTAGAATTTGCTGCTTTGCATATTTTTGTTTATTTCTTTCAAATATTTCGGCTTCTGCCGACGCCGACCTGCCGAGGGCTCCGAGCGGATCGACCGGAGGAGCCGCGGCCGACGCAGCAGCAGCAGCAGCAGCAGCAGCAGCAGCAGCAGCAGCACGAGGAGGCGGTGCAGCGCGGCGCTGCTTTCGCAGGTGGGCCTCCAGCTGCTTCGGGTTTATTCCTGATCCCGGGGGCCCCCCTTGAAGCCCGGAGAGGCCTCGGGGCAATGAGGCTCCTGCGAGCAGCAGCAAACTTGCTGCTGGGGGCCCTGGCCGTGGGCCTCGCGGGCCTGGGGGCCCCCGGGGGCCCCGGGGGCCCCGGGGGCCCCGGGGGCCCCGGGGGCCCCGGGGGGCCCCTGTGCCTGGCGCTGGCGGCGCAGCGGGGGCGGCTGGGGGGCAGCAGCGGGCCCGAGGGAAGTGACCCTGAGGCCATTCAAAGAGCAGCAGATTCGGAGTCTTCTGCAGCAGGATATTCTTCTGCTGCTTCCGACACAGAGAGCAGCAGCAAAGGAGCAGCTTCTAGAAAAGAAAAGAAAAAAAAAAGAACAAAAAAACTCAAAAAAAAAATAAAAAAGGCCATCGGGTCCCCCAGATTCCTTGTCCGCAGGCGCAAGGGAGGAGCCAGTCTTGAAGCTCTGCCGGCGGTGGGATCGGGATCGGGATCGGGATCGGGATCGGGATCGGGATCGGTGTCTTCGCTGGACGCTGCGGGGCCCCACAGATCCCAGGAGAAGCTGGGGATCGGGGATCGGGGGATCCCAGGATCCTACACTCCCCTCGAAACTCCTTCTCCAGAGCCTCGACTGACTCCAACTGCCCCCCCCCTCCCTCCCGAGGAGTTTACTGTTCCAGTTCAAGTTCACCACGGCCAAGACCACGACTCGGGGGCCCCCGGGGCCCCCGGGGCCCACGGGGCCCATGGGGACCACGGCGAGCACGGGAGCCCCCACGGAAGTCCCCATGGGGGCCCCCACGGGGGCCCCCACGGGGGCCCCCACGGGGGCCCCCACGGGGGCCCCCACGGGGGCCCCCACGGGGGGCCCCATGGGGGGCCCCATGGGGGCCCCCATGGGGAGGAAAAGCGGCCTCCTCCCCCCCCCTATTCTCCGCCGCCACCCTACAGGCCCCCCAGGCCCTCTTCGCCGCCCCCCCCGTACTCCGACGGGGGCCCCCAAGATGCCCCGCAGCAGCAGCATGGGGGGCCCCCCGAGCCCCACGGCCACGAGGGGGGCCCCCCCCACGGCGAGCATGCAGCCTCGGACCACTCGGAGGCCCACGGGGGCCCCCATGGGGGCCCCCATGGGGGCCCCCATGGGGGCCCCCATGGGGGGCCCCATGGGGGGCCCCATGGGGGGCCCCCAGTGCCCATGCCCAGGACCATACGGAGACCCGTGCAGCAGCACGGAGGTGCAGCAGAGCAGGGGCAGCAGCATGGACCGCAGCAGCATGACCAGTGGACCACTCCGCAGCAGCCCCCAGTACCCCTCCAGCGGCGGCTGCCACCCAGGACCTCCCAGGGGGCCCCCATGGCCCACGGGGGGCCCCCCGGGGGGCCCCCCGGGGGCCCCGGAAGCAGAGGCCCGCCGCCTAAGCCGCCCCGGAGGAGCAAGCCCCCTCCCCCCGCGGCTCCAGAAGGGCAGCAGTAGCTTAGTGGGGGCGCAGCACGCAGCAGCAGCAGCAGCAGCAGCAGCAGCAGCAGCAGCAGCAGAAGCAGCAGCAGCAGCTGTCCCTGCTGCTGCCCCGGGCCTCCCCGCGTCGTGGGCGGCCTTAAATGCTGCAGAAGCGGGAACGCCCTGGGCCCAGAGAGTTGGCAATCAGCAGCAGCAGCAGCAGCAGCAGCAGCAGCAGCAGCAGCAGCAGCAGCAACTGTTGCTGCTGCTGCCCGTGTGCGCTGCTGCGAGCCCCCCGCTAGGGCAGCTTTAGTTTTAGATCTTTCTGTCTGCACGAAATAAAATAATAAAGTTAAAACAAAATAAAGTAAATAAAATAAAATAAAATAAAATAAAATAAAATAAAATAAAATAAAATAAAACCCCAGTTGCAGACCCCACAGGTGTCCGCAGCCCACTCGGGTGTACAGACACCGCAACTAGCGCATGGACGCAAAAGATTTCTTTTCAGTTTTATTCTTTTGCAAATAAAATGCATGCATTCTTGCTGCTGCTCTAATGCTGCGCCAGCAGCAGCAGCAGCAGCAAGCAACTGGCGCGCAAGGGTAGCAGCAGCAGCAGCAGCAACACGAGCAGCAGCAGCAGCAGCAGCAGCACGAGCAGCAGCAGCAGCAGCACGAGCAGCAGCAACAGGGGCGGTGCAGCAACGCGGCGCAGTAGGCTGCAGCTAATTGCGCTGAAGAAATGGAAGCAAAAGCCTCCTTGTGGGCTGCGTCAGAGCTAGGGTTTAGGGTTTAGGGTTTAGGGTTTAGCCTTGAGGGTTTAGAGTTGGAGGTTTTTGAGTCTAGAGAAACAACGGGGCAAAGGCCCCGAGGTCTCAAGCAGCAGCAATTCTGGAATGTGAAATCTGCTGCTGCTGCTGCTAGTGTTTTAGCTGCTGCTGCTAGTGTTTTGGCTGCTGCTGCTGCTGCAGGAGCTGACGCTGCTGCAGCAGCAGGTAAAGCTGCAGCCGCTGCTGCAGCAGAAACTAAAGCTGCTGCTGCTGCTGCAGTTGCTGCTGCAGCAGCAGAAACTAAAGCTGCTGCTGCTGCTGCAGTTGCTGCTGCTGCAGCAGAAACTAAAGCTGCTGCTGCTGCTGCAGTTGCTGCTGCTGCTGCTGCAGTTGCTGCTGCTGCAGTAACTCCTGCTGCTTCAGGGAGTCAGTCTCTTGGGGTCTCTAGGGAAAAGAGAGACACGGCGGATGTTGCCGAGACCTGCAGCAGAACAAAGAGCAATACCCTAAACCCTAAACCCTAAACCCTAAACCCTAAACCCTAAACCCTAAGCTCTACGGCACCTTCACATTTAACAACGACCGATGCTAAGGCGAAGCCAAGGCGCATTAGCTAAACCCTAAACCCCAAACCCCAAACCCTAAACCCCAAACCCTAAACCCCAAAAGAGCCCAAACCCCAAACCCTAAACCCCAAACCCCAAAGCCCATCCCCAAAGCCTTAAACCCCAAACCCCAACCCCCTCCCGAAAACCCCGCTGCCCACCCCCCAACCCCCAACCCCAAACCCTAAACCCTAAACCCTAAACCCTAAACCCTAAACCCTAAACCCTCACCGTAGTACAGCATCACGATGCGCTCGAGCCCCGCGCCCATGCCCGCGTGGGGGGGGGCCCCCAACTCGAGGGCCTCCAAGTAAAACCGCAGCTGCTGCTCCTGCTGCTGCTGCTCCTGCTGCTGCTGCTGCTGCTGCTGCTGCTGCTGCAGCAGCCCCAGGGCCTTCAGGCGGCTGCGCAGCAGGGGCCCCTCGTGGATTCTTTGGGCCCCCGAGGCCACTTCTTCGCCGCGCATGAACACGTCAAAAGTGTTTGAGAACCGCTGCACCAAACCCTAAACCCTAAACCCTAAACCCTAAACCCTAAACCCTAGCCCTGCGGCGCCTTAGGCGCGGTGGTAGCTCGTGCCGGGTGGGTGGCTGGCTGGCTAGGCAGAGAGCTCGCTGGCTAGCTAGCTAGCTAGCTGTGCGGAGCTAGCTAGCTAGCTAGCTAGCTGTGTGTAACTAGCTAGCCGCGTCTAGCTAACTGCGTCTAGCCAGCTAGCTAGCTGTGCGCAGCCATCTAGCTAGCTAGCTACCCACAGCTAGCGAGCTAGCTAGCCACAGCTAGCCAGCTAGCTAGCTAGCCACAGCTAGCGAGCTAGCTAGCCACAGCTAGCCAGCTAGCTAGCTACCCACAGCTAGCTAGCTAGCTAGCTAGCTAGCTAGCCAGCTAGCCAGCTAGCTAGCTACCCACAGCTAGCTAGCTAGCTAGCTAGCCACAGCTAGCTAGCTAGCTAGCTAGCTGGCGCTGGGCTCACCGGGTCCTCGGGGCAAGGCATGGAGTAGAAGGGGCGGACGTTGGCGGGGTACTTGAGGAGAAAAAAGAAATCAGTTTTATATTTTTGCTTCACAAGTTTTCCAAGAGCTTTTTCGAGTTCTGTGGAGAGGTCGAAGTTCTCCAAGTTTTCTGGGATCGTCTCCAAACCGATCCCAGCTTCCCGCAGCAGCTGCACGCCTTCCGCGAAGGTCAGCCGCGGCGTCTCCGCCAAAAACTCGAACTTCTCCACTGCGTGCTGCTCCCGGATCACCGCGTTCTCCTGCAGCAGCAGCAGCAGCAGCAGCAGCAGCAGCAGCAGCAGCAGCGGGGGGGGAGCTGCAGGCGAGGCAGCGAAGCGCGGCCACAGCGCCGCAAGGCAGCGCGCCCACTCGACCCAGCAGCAGCAGACACAGCTGCTGCTGCTGCTGCTGCAGCAGCAGCAGCACACACCGCTCTGTGCAGCAGCAGCAGCAGCTGCTGCTGCTGCTGCTGCTGCTGCTGCTGCTGCAGAGGCTTACATGGGGAGACTCGGCCTCGAGTTTTGTGAAGATGTACTTGAAGAGCTCGTCTATGAGGTCAACTGCTTCCATGAAGTTTTCTTTTATTTCCATTTCCAAGTCAAGTCCCACGAACTCGCACAAGTGCCGGTGCGTGTTGCTGTTCTCCGCCCGAAACACCGGACCTGCAGCAGCAGCAGCAGCAGCAGCAGCAGGTGCAACAAAGCAGCAGCAGGTGCAACAAAGCAGCAGCAGCAGCACGCAGCAGAAAACAGCAGCAGCAGCAGCACCAATAACATCCCCCTCATCGTCATGATCCTCCTCCTCCTCCTCACCATCACCAGCAGCAGCAGCAGCAGCAGCAGCAGCAGCACGCGGCAGAAAGCAGCAGCAGCACCAATAACATCCCCCTCATCGTCATGATCCTCCTCCTCCTCCTCACCATCATCATCACCAGCAGCAGCAGCAGCAGCAGCAGCAGCAGCAGCGCAGCAGCAGCAGCAGCAGCAGCAGCAGCAGCAGCGGACCGATCTCGAAGACGCGCTGCATGTCTCCGGCTATGCACATCTGCTTGTAGAGCTGCGGACTCTGCGCCAAACAAGCTCGGCGCGAAAAGTAAGGCAGCTGGAAGCAAGAAGCTCCGCCTTCGGAAGCTCCCGCCAGCAGCTTCGGAGTGTGGACTTCGAGGAATTGCTGCTGCAGCAGGAAGTCTCTGAAGTGTCTAGACACCTCAGACACTGCGCGGGCCACCGCCAGAGTCCCAGGCACCCGCAGGTCCAGACTCCGGTGGTCCAGCCGCGTCTCCAGGTGCACGCGGATCTGCCCCTGCAGCAGCAGCAGCAGCAGCAGCAGCAGCAGCAGCAGCAGCAGCAGCGGCAGCGGCAGGTGGGGGCGGGGCGCTGCGGCGCGGCAGCAGCGAGGGCGCATGCGCAGCAGCTAGTTTGCAAAGCGCGCGATTCGCAGCGAACACGCAACGCAGCAGCGGGAAGGCTGCTTGCTGCAGACCAGCAGCAGCAGCAGCAGCAGCAGCAGCAGCAGCAGCAGCAGCAGCAGCAGCGTGCCTCTTTGGGGTCGTCTTCGGGCTGCGCTGCGTCGCGGATCTGGAAAGGCAGCTCCTTGGGGCCGCGAACTGCAACAAAAAGCTTTTCTGCATGCAGCTCGAGAGCAGCAGAAGTAGCAGCAATTGGAAACTTCGGGGCTTTCACAAGACCCCACACATCCACCAGAGACTCTGCTGCTGCTGCTGCAGCAAACCGCAGCAAAGCCTTCGGCTGCTCCGCACCCAGCACGCACTGCACCGTCCACAGCCCCTCCCGCAGCGTCAGAAACACCACAGAACCTGCAGCAGCAGCAGCAGCAGCAGCAGCAGCAGCAGCAGCAGCAGCAGCAGCAGCAGCAGCAGCGATTTCGTGAGTGATTCGAGGGATTCTGACATTTTTAGTAAATAATTTAAGTGCTTTAAATGCTTCGCAGAAACGCATGCAAGAAAACCGAGGTGTACATACACCCGAAACACTCGAGCAAAAGCAAACGGAAAAGTGCACCGCTTTATTATTCAATCAATTTAATTTGATTTAATTTAATTTAATTTAATTTAATTTAATTTAATTTAAATTCTCGCATTATAATGCAGAGGGCTGCGCACAGCCGTATGGGACTGCAGCAGCAGCAGCAACAGCAGCAGCAGCAGCGGCTACAGCAGCAGCTGCAACAGCAACAGCAACAGCAGCAGCAGCAGCAGCAGCAGCGAACCTTTGGACCTGCAGTCCTGCAGCCTGCCTCTGACCCAGATGTACTGCCCCTCTTTGCTGTCGACATCCTTAATAGAAGTCCACTCCCTCTTTTTCAATTTGCTGCTGCTGCTGCTGCTGCTGCTGCTGCTGCTGCTGCTGCTGCTGCTGCGCGAGTCAATCAAGGGGTAGTAGCCGAAGCTGTCTGCCTCATAGTCCGCGGAAACCCGCACCAGCAGCGCCTGCGCCTCCTCTGCGCAAGGTCACAAACCCTAATTTAGGGTTTAGGGTTTAGCGCTAGGCCGAGCTTCTTCGGGCTCCAAAGCAAAGATTTAGGGTTTCGAGCTAGGGTTTAGGGTTTAGGACTAGCTCATTCGAAAGGGAAGGATAGGGACTAGGGTTTAGGGTTTAGGGTTCGCATCTAGGGTTTAGCGTTGGCTTGGGGCGTTAAGGGTTTAGGGGGAGGGCGCAGTGTTCAAAGCTAGGGTTTAGGGTTTACAACGAGGGTTTAGGGTTTGCAGCTAGGGTTTAGGGTTTGCAGCTAGGGTTTAGGGTTTGCAGCTAGGGTTTAGGGTTTACCTTGGGCTTTTTTCTTTTCAAGTTTTGCTGCTTCCTTTGCTGCCTTTTCTGCTTCCTTGGCTTTCTTGCGGGCCTCTCTTTCGGCCTTTAGTTGCTGCTCCCGCGGCGACAGCTCCTGCTGCTGCTGCTGCTGCTGCTGCTGCTGCTGCTGCTGCTGCTCGTCTGCAGCAGCAGGAGATACGGAAACCTCCTCCCGCTTCATTGGGCCACGAGCGCTGTTGCGAGCTGGTGTTGCTGCTGCTGCTGCTGCTGCTGCTGCTGATCGGGCGCAGCAAATCGCTGGCTGCCTTGCGAAGCTGCCGATGCTGCTGCTGCTGCTGCTGCTGTTGCTGCTGCTGCTGAAGGCAGTCGAATGGTGGGGCAGGCGCAAGATGAAGCTATAGAGGTGCTGCGGCTGTCGGCGAGTCTGCTGCCGCAGCAGGTGCTGCTGCTGCTGCAGGCGCTGCTGCTGCTGCAGGTGCTGCTGCAGGTGCTGCTGCTGCTGCTGCTGCTGCCACTTCGTAGGTGGCCAAAGGCTGCGCTGAACCAGTCTGGGGGTATAAGCTCCAGAGAGCATGAAGTGCAGCTGCAGCGGAAGCAGCAGCAGCAGCAGCAGCAGCAGCAGCAGCAGCAGAAACGGCGGGAGCTGCAGCAACGTGATGCGAGAGAATCCACGGCCAAAACGGCGGGCGCCACACAGCATCCGGCTGCAGCAGCAGCAGCACAGCCCCGCAAGTGCAGCAGCAGCAACAGCAGCAGAAACAAATCACAGCAGCCTCAACGCCGCAGCAGCAGCAGCAGCAGCAAAGCGTGAGCCAGCAATTTTGTATAACTGTGCACACTGCTCTATCTTCTGCGCATGCAGCATGCAGCAGCAACACCTGAACTGGCAGCAGCAGCAACAGCAGCAGCAGCACGCAGCAGCAGCAGCAAGTGTTGGTGTACCTCTGGTACTCTACACAACTCCTGGGCAAATCAACTGCTGCTCTAAAAAGAAAGTCTAACGCCTTCACAGATTGGGTCTCTTCGCAGCAAGCCCCACGGTTGCTGCAGCAGCAGCCGCAGCAGCACGAGGACCTGCAAGCAGCAGCAGCAGCAGCAGCAGCAGCAGCAGCAGCAGCAGCGCGAGCAGATACCGCTGGTCTTGCTGCGGCTGTCTTCTTCGAGTCTTATATGTTGGAAGCCTTTTTGAATTTGCTGCTCTAATTTGAATTTAGCTGCTGCAGCCTGAGAATGTAATTGACTGTTGGCTTGCGGCAGCAGCAGCAGCTCCAGGAGCCTTTTTTAAGCCGCAGCCGTCGCCCTGATTTGGATGTCATTTGTTTGTCATGGAATAGCAGGAGCTCTAGAAGCAGCAGCAATAGCAGCAAGAGCAGCAAGAGCAGCAGCAGCAGCAGCAGCAGCGACAGCAGCAGCAGGGCCACGGAAAGCAGGGCCCCTGCTCGGCGCTGCTGCTGCTGCTCTTTAAGATAAACCGGATGGAGCGGCGCAGCAGCTAGGGCGATACATGTTGTACAGAGAGAAGCCCAGCAGCAGCAGCAGCAGCAAGCACAGCAGCAGCAGCAGCAGCAGCAAGCACAGCAGCAGCAGCAGCAGCAGCAAGCGCAGCAGTGACGACAGCAGCAGCAGCGTTGACCGGCTCCTTTCAATGACCGCTCCTGCATACCGCCTCAGAAGGACTGATATCCGAGCAGCAGCAGCAGAGCGTGTTGCGGCTTCTGCTGCTGCTGCTGCTGCTGCTGCAGCTGGTAGAAAGTCAGTTGATTCCAGGCGTGGCGGCCTGAACAGCAGCAGCAGCAACTGCTGCAGCAGCAGGTGCAGCAGCAGCAAGAGCCTGCTGCGGCGAAGCAGCAGAAACCTTACCAGGTGCTCTACAGGGGAGAGCCTGAGGAAGAGCAGCCGCACGAGCAGCTGCAGCAGCAGGAGAAGCAGCAGCAGAAGCAGCAGCAGCAGGAGAAGCAGCAGCAGAAGCAGCAGCAGCAGGAGCAGCAAACTGCAGCAGGGCGACAGCAGCTCCCACAGGAGCACCAGCAGCACTTGTGACTGCAGCGACTTTTCTCCCCAGTCAGAGAGGTGCCTTGCGGCTTGCCGCAGCAGCAGCAGCAGCAGCAGTAGCTTTGGCTGCTGCTGCTGCAGCAGCTGCTGCTGGCAGCAGCACAGCAGCTGCTCAGACACAGCAGCAACGGTGCCTGGGGAGCCCCTGCTGCGCTTCTCGCCGAGCAAGCTGAACTGTGGGGCAGCAGCAGCAGAGGCAGCAGCAGCTGCTGCTGAAGTGGCAGCAGCAGCAGCAGAAGCAGCAGGACCATGGAAGGTTTCACTGCCTGCTGCTGCAGCAGCAGCAGCAGCGGCGGGACCTCGTGCGGCACTGAAGACTGCAGCTGAGAAGCCTCTCGCCAGAGCAGCAGCAACAGCAGCAGCAGCAAAGCCACCAGCACCAGCAGCAGCAGACGCAGCAGCAGCAGCAGCAGAAGCTTCCGGTTGTGCTGCTGAAGCTGCAGCAGCGAAGCCACGGCCGCGAAAGAGGCGGAGGCAGCACTGTCCTGTGGGTGAAGCAGCAGCGCAGCAGCAGCAGCAGCAGCAGCAGCAGCAAGATATGCCACAGGAAAGACCGCCACTAAGGGCAAGACAGCAGCAGCGGCAGCAACAGCAGCAGCAGCAGCAGCAAGAGACACAGCCAACGGACTATGGCACTCGAAGGCTGCTGGGTTCTCGTTCTGCTGCTGCAGCAGCAGAGGCACCAGCGCCGCTAGCAGCAGCAGCAGCAGCAGAGTCTGCTGCTGCTGCTGCTGAGAGGGCCGGCTGGCGCAGCAGAAGGAAAGCAGCAGCACAGCCCCGTCAAGCAGCAGCACGACTGTTCGCAGATGGGCCCCACAGGCACTCTTCGAGGCGATCTGCTGCTGCTGCTGCTGCTGCTGCTGCTGCTGCTGCTGGAGCTCGTCCATCAGCCGCTGCAGCTGCTGCAGCTGCTGCAGCGGCTCCTGTCGCTGCTGCTGCTGCTGCAGGAGCTCCCGCCGCTGCTGCTGCTGCACAGCAGCTGCCAGGGGCTGCTGCTGCGCCGCTACCTTTGTGTCCTGCAGCAGAGCGGAGCAGCAGCAAGCAACGCAGCGGGGCGGAAGGCGAGCCTGCAGCAGCAGCAGCAGCAGCAGCAGCAAA